ATTTTTGCGAAAATCTACGTAAAATCTGGGTAGGTACAGAACCCTCGGCGCACGAGTTCGACTCGTACCTGACCGGTTATTTTGGTGATTAAATGACATACTTCAAGAACTTATTGTTTGTCATGTGTTTATGTAAAATTAATAATAGTAACGACTAGTCGTTATAAATAAGGAAAAAAATTTTTCCATAACATACTCGTATCATATTAATACTTTGTATACTAATTCATTTTAATATAATTAAATTCAGCAAGTCTGCAAAATATGTGTAAAAAAGGCTTCAAAAAGGTTTGATAATGATGAAACTTGAAATATAGTACTTTATTATAATGACGGAATAGACCTTTATACTATAATTACGGTGTTATATCATCGCGGCGGTAAGACCCGTTATGGAGGATTGGCTCGAGAGGCGTCACGGGACCCTCTCATACCGACTGACGCAGGTGATCACTGGGAAAGGATGTTTCGGGGATTACCTGTGTCTGATCTGCAAGGAGCCAACGCCTGAGTGCCACCACTGCGATGGCCAGACCGTGGACACGGTTCTCCACACGCAGGCAGAGTGCCCGGCGTGGGTTTAGCAGAGGCAAAACCAAAGCCTGATTGCGGCTATCGTGCGGAGCGAGAGTGCGTGGAACTCTGCCGTCTCCTTCTGCGAGCAAGTTATGCTCGCGAAGGAGACGGTGGAGCGGGACCGGGAGAGGTTTAGAACTCTCCCGGCCCGCTAGGCCCGGGAACGGGCCCGGTACCGCAGGCGACTCAGGCGCCGGAGGTCGCAGAACGACCTCCATAAGCGCAGGCCTGGGGGTGACAGGTGAGGCCATCTGTTACCCTATCAGAAGCAGGCCGGGGTGGCGGCGAGCGCATTGCGAAGCGCGCTCGCTTCCAGGGAGCAGAGGGAACATGGGGTTCCCACACGGGGGGGGGTCGTCTACTCGTCTGTAGATGGCCCGAGGTATGTCGGGGCATAAGGGACTTCCTTTCTAGGGTATACCTGGTTCCCCGGCTATTAGTACCCGAGACGGCGTGCGGTTTAGTCGGTTCGAGTCCGACATGCCACCGATAGGTGGTATCCAAGGGGATTTCCGCACGGAAAAAAAAAAAGGGTGTTATATCATGGTCAGAAAAGACTATGTCTATTTGAGAGGCGGTTGCTACGCGGTTTTAGCGATCAGAGTGCAATAAGTGTGTTGTATTTATCTATGATATTGTTTTCTGTCATAATGTTTAGGCCTATAAATGATCACTATTCATTATTACTGTAGCAAAGGATTGATTCAAAAAAATAGAAATTTAAACTAATATTATAAAGCTTAAGAGACTCACACACAAACTTAGGCACTCCTGATTCGAATTAGAAAAAATCCTTTAATATTAAATAGCCCATTAATCGAGGAAAGCTATGACCAATAGGAGCCTAGCATCAATGAAAAATCTTGCAAAAAATGGGGAATGGGGGAATGTCTTTTCAAGAGACGCAGACGAAATTGCTAGACTCAGCTAGTCCAATTTATCTCAGAGGATGTAAGTAACAGACGTATTAAGCGCCTCATCATCATCATTCACAGCCTTTACTAGTCCACTGCTGGACATAGGCCTCTCCTTAGAAATGAGGTTTTGGCCTACTATACCACGCTGGCCAGACGGGTAGGTATAGGGTTTGTTTCAAGTTTTCCTTCTCTTTGCAGTGCTGATGTCCTGCGTAGTTTGCTCCCTTAGTCGGTTCTTACGACACCCATGAGATGAATAGTGGTGGTGACACTCTGTATTCTTAATTAAGCGCCTATATTTTGCCAACTATATCTTTAATCCTACTTACACAATTGGACGAAGCCGTATTGCCATAAAACCCCCACTTGGAGTAAGTGGGAAAATTCTAATTATATTGAAAGGAAAATTGGAAAAGAAAGATTATCTATTGGCTAAAGAAAATATGTTGTGTTTTAAATGTTCGGTATATTTGTTTACTGCTAAATTCGCAATACCATAGGTAAAACATTTAAAGATAATCTTGAAAGAAAATGTGAAGACTATTCTTTTCCGAAACAAGAGTTATGATCCGTTAACCAGTAGTGGTACAGCACTAGTAAGTAATATATTATACCTGTACCACCCATTACGATTTACGAACAGACTTTAAACTTGTTTGTAATCTCTATGGAATAAGAAAAAACTAATGACACGAATTAACTTAACTCTATGAAATGTCAGAATCGTGTATTTCAAACATAATCCACTGATAATTAATATTATTTAACGGGAATTAACGCGATCTCTTATTTAGGGTATTACATACCTCTGGTTTGCCTGACGTTTCGACCAGGTTGCACCGGCCGTGGTCACAGGCTGACTCCTGCCTGCCCGCTGCTGCCTTCCCGTTAAATAATATTAATTATCATGGAACGCGAAAGTTTAAAAGTTAGTATAATCCACTGAGCCACACCTCTAAGGGTGTCGTTTTTTTTTTTTGTTAACAACACCACTGCTGACTAGTGATGTATAAGGTGAATTAAAACAATTCGTGGTGTTAATTTTTAATGATAATGTAGAAATTGGTCGAGTTCAAAGGGATTCGTAAATTATACCAATTGTATCCATTATATCAAAAAGTAACTAAATAAATTTATAAAATTTGATTAGATAATTATACACTAACTATTCATTTTTATTCACCGTTTCTTTGTTTCACTTCATCTGCTATCTTTAAAGCAACTTCTGGAAGAGCTTTTTAAAAGAGAATATTAAAAAGAAATCTTTTAAAAAAGGAATCTCAAATATTAGATTGCCGTAACAAACATCCGAGCTAGACCGCGCCTCAGTCAATAGAAAAATGATTATCCTACGATATTAAATTTCGTCCTTGATAATATTTTAGTTATGTTAACTGAGATGGTGTGTTTAGATTATAATTTACATTTAATTTAGTTTGTCTATAACACTGGTTCATATAATTAAGTTTATAATAATGTTAGTAAAATCGAAACAGCATCAAATCGATTCGATTTTTTAAGTTATGCCGATGTGTTTTGAATTACATATTGTTTTATACCTCGCGAGGCCATCCGGATCCGACTCATTCAAGACAAAATAAATATAAACTTTTTTGGAAGTGTTTGAGTTTAAGAACTTTGCTTGAGTACTGCTACGTAAATAAAGAATCGCCAGAGTATTGTTACAGTGTAATGTATGACACTAATGACGTTTATTATTTGCTAGCTTTTACCTAAAGCTTCGCTCGCCGTAATATTGATGCTTTTGTGCTATTTTGTGCCAAATTTAATTTAATTTGGTGAGCCATCCACCCTCACGAACTTTCGTGTTTTTAACATTAATGGGGTAATCAATGTTCACGTGTCACTTATTGTTGATCGAGTCACTTGAGGATTGATTTGTTAATCTTTACTTAAGCACAGTTTCATTTGATAGGATAGTTCTGTTATAAATTAAATGCTCAGATATTCTTAATCCAAACAGTAATTAGTTGAACCTCTTTTGGGACATCAAGTCCTATAATTAGACCCACAAACTTTAGTATGCTAATAAAATTGGGACAATTAACTAAAACGATAGTAGAATGAATGAAGAAATGAACTTTTGGAGGTTTGTAATGGAAGAATGTTAAACTATCACCATCTCCAAAAATCGTTTAACTCCAAGAACGCAAAAATTAGATAACAGTGACGTTGAAAATAAGATTTGTTAATATAATTTTGACGTTATTGATGTTCAGCGAATTTTGGGACAATAGTGTTCAGACACTTATGAAAAAGTCAAAGTCACAATCATTTGTCTTGGTCGGGAATCGAACTTACGACTTCTGGCTCAGTAGTCAGGCTCACTTATCACTAGACACATGGGCCAGCCAAAGTTATTAAAAGTACAGAGTATATTTTATTTCGTCTTACCCTGGATATTTTACGTTTAAAACTCATTTCTGAAAGGAACAGAAACTAATCAAGTTCCTGTAAACAACTCTTAATCTTAAGGGAAATTGGCAAAATTGTACACGTAAATAAACTTTTTTAATCTTTCTTCGAGGGTCTACTGGTGATTTAGAAGTTGGTAAACATTAATTACTTCGGTGCCTCTCGGATAATTTCATAATTTATTCATTTATTATCGTCATCAATCATCAACAGCTGAAACATAGGTCTGTTCTTAGAAAGGAGGTCTTTACTACTACCTACCTACAATACCACGCTGGCCAGACGGGTTGCTATAGTGTCAGTTTCAAGTTTTCCTTCTCTTTGTAGTGCTGTTGTCCTGCGTAGTTTGCTTGCGACTGATACGACACCCACGGGCTGAATAGGGAACACTCTGTATTCTTAATTTTTGGTATCACTCCGGTCGAGCCAGCGCATATGAGCTCTCCCACTTAAAAATAATAGATTTTCCATTCCATGGTGTATTTTTACGTTTTTTTCCTTAGAACTCTGTCATTTATGAACCGATTTGGAAAAACCTTTTGGGAGATAAACTTGCCGTTTAGGCCCTCAAATTTGAAAAAAAAAACACTTCTTAGAATGGAAAATTAAGGAATGAAGAATACAGTTTATTACAATTCAACGTGCGAATTGAAGTCGGTGATAATTTCTTGTAAGTTAACTAACTCTTGCCCTAGGCTCCGCCCGCGTGTATGTCGGTTATCGCGGTAAAAAGTCAATCTCCTTCCCCACAACTTAAACTATCTCCATACTAAATTTCATCTAAATTGGTTCAGCGGTTATTAATTCCCCATACAAACTTACACCCCCCCTTCCCCCTTTAGAGGAACGGGTGTCATGTCCCTCCAACACAAAAGGAGGATCCTCCGACAAGGCGAGGCGATCATGCCTGATGGTCCTCGGCCCAACGGTTAATGTTGGACAGTTGTAAATATGCCAATCGGCGAGAGAATTCTTCATATCACAATATACGCGACTTTTGGGAGATAAACTTGCCGTTTAGGCCCTCAAATTTGAAAAAAAAAAACACTTCTTAGAATGGAAAATTAAGGAATGAAGAATACAGTTTATTACAATTCAACGTGCGAATTGAAGTCGGTGATAATTTCTTGTAAGTTAACTAACTCTTGCCCTAGGCTCCGCCCGCGTGTATGTCGGTTATCGCGGTAAAAAGTCAATCTCCTTCCCCACAACTTAAACTATCTCCATACTAAATTTCATCTAAATTGGTTCAGCGGTTATTAATTCCCCATACAAACTTACACCCCCCCTTCCCCCTTTGGAGGAACGGGTGTCATGTCCCTCCAACACAAAAGGAGGATCCTCCGACAAGGCGAGGCGATCATGCCTGATGGTCCTCGGCCCAACGGTTAATGTTGGACAGTTGTAAATATGCCAATCGGCGAGAGAATTCTTCATATCGCAATATACGGTGTGTCTTCGGGACATGACGCTTTAGTATGTTTCTGTTTCTTTGTATGTGGGAGTCGCCACACACCCCCTTAAAGGATGAAATCTGGAATAGAAACTATATAGTTTCTGTCTATCGAGAGATAGTTCGAGTCCCAAATCAATACCAAATTAATAAAACCCCATCTCTAAACCAAATTTGATCTAAATCGGTCCAGCGGTTAAGCGTGAAGGGGTAACAGACGGACAGATATACTTTCGCATTTATAATATTAGTGTGGATTATTGCGGGTTGTGTTCACTATTTGTTGTTAATGTTGGTGTTTTAAGCTCCACCAATTAACTTCTGATCAATGTCGTTGAGGATTCCTAGAATGCTTAACTTTTCCTGAGACTTCCCGAGTGTTATAAGTCGGTGTGTTGGTGGGACACCGCTGTTGATCAGTGTACAGGAGATTTAGTAGCTGGCGTGTGGGAGGGATAAGTTACATATTTAAAATGTTGGTGTCAGACAGCGACAGATAAAAATTGAGTGAAACAGTGTATTTTTCATACTTTATTTTTATTTGGAACATATTTTTCCGTGAACCAACGGCTCACTGTAATCCGACACTGATAACATATGACAACGGTTACGCGGTGCTTAAGGGATTTAGGCGGAAAAAAGGTCAACATTTTCGTTCCAATATTTATTACTTTTCATAGTATGATATAATTGGAACAGCTATAGTTATCTAGTGCTTATTCACATCTATACTAATTACTAACTTGGGTTATGCAAATCAAATATGCGATTTCAGATCCGTCGCTGTATTTCTATTAAGATAATAATGTTTTACCTAGGATAATGATTAGTGATAAGATTAGTGATAAGTCACTAATCTTTTTTCTGAGTAAAGCTTTCGCTTATTAGATTTATCGTATGTTAAGCAACAAATGTCTTTTAGTATTAAAAGGAAAGAATTTTTAATTTTGCTAATCTTCTTCCTTATATGCATTGCCGATTTTTTTGTCCTATATTTGTACAGAGAAAAGTGACTCAGACAGTCACTCACAGAAGTCAGTATTTAAAAAATTACTAATGGTAAATTAAAAAAAAACGTCAAACGATACGACCTTCAAACCTTCAAGAAAAGAGCGTACTCCTTCCTAAAAGGCCGGCAACGCGTTTGTGACCCCTGAGTTGCAGTTCCTGACCCGTCTCGCTCGTCTACCCCCTCTATCATAAAAAAGTCTTGATTTCGAAGATTGCTTATATGTATATATACATTATAGATATTGAAAATATATGTTGTTGTATTTACTGTTACTGTTTTTCCTTATCACCGTTTTTTTTCTGTTACAGATACTCATTCGTCCACACCCGTGGTGTGCCTTGTGATAGAAGGGGGCACTAACACAGTCCGAGCTGTACTGGAGTACGTCACAGATACGCCGCCAGTTCCTGTGGTGGTCTGCGATGGTAGTGGCAGAGCAGCAGACCTCATCGCTTTTGTGCATAAGTATGTATTCAAGTAACTCTATCTAGTACAAATAATTTCAACTAATTTGCAAACAACAAGCTAAACACAGTCTGTGTTTAGCTTGTTGTTAAACCAAAAAAAGCAATCAATATATCAGTAATTTCAGTGGCATTAAAAAGAGTAGGTACCTAAAGCTCGTCGACGTAAGAACTTTTAACTTTTAACTCAACTTATTTAAAGTTCTAAATTGGACACAAGAATATTCTATACACGTGTCGTTTACTTTAGTTCTGAGAGATTTCGACTTTACAGAGTTCTAGTCTGTGTCTAGAACGTGCGGGGGATAGCCTTGGCGACAAATTTTGCCACAGTGTAATTTTTTAACATTTTACATTTTCGGACAAAGAGCTTTTTATTAAAATATAAACCTACACCGCTTAAGGCTTTTGTCTATCGGCTAGTCAGTATTAACGTTTTTTCTTGAAGAGAGAAGCTAAAAGAACATGTAAAACGATAACTAGTTTACCACACGGTTACCGTTAATACTAAAAATATGATATTTACCGCAACTAATATTATAAATGCGAAAGTAACTCTGTTTGTTATGCTTTCACTTCTACGCTGTTAAACCAATTCTAAAGAAACTTGGCATGCAGATAATTTGATTCTTAAGAAAGGACATAGGCTACTTTTTACCACGATAACCGATATACGTTTCTTGTCCAAAAGCCGTTTACTTAGACTTAAAAACCGGCATGTTTCATTACAGTAGGTACTTTTAGATAGGGGAGGTACAGAGGTAACAAGAAAACTTCAAATTTTACAATATTTATTTATAATATCTGAGTATATTTTAAAGTATAATGTACAATGTATATTCAACAAAGTACGGGTGGTATTTTTAAACGCCACTTTTTAATAAAACATATTTAAACGTAACCAAATCCTGGAAGCGACTCAATTGCGAGGTCAGAAACTATTTTGAAGCAGTAAACTTGCCTCTAAACAATTTCTCCCAGGATAATTCACATTATTAACAACAAAGTTTTCATACATATGTATATATGTCTTCCTAAACTACCCGAAGCTCCAAGCTCACCAAGGAATATCGTATATTTGAATATGCCAGATATTTCTCAAAGGAGCACGGATATTGGATAACTAAATCTCGTAACTATTTGGGATTGGGCTCAACGTCATAATTTTTTTGCCAAAATCCTTGCATCATTTCAGATAGTCATATGTTTGTAAGAGACTTTTTCGTATTTGACTTTTTGTTTGTTTACTGGTATACGAACAGGAAATTAATATGTTTTGACATCATTGGATCGTTTTTTTGTGGGTAGGTACGAGGGGACTTTTATTTTAACTAACCGTAAGCAGTATAAATAAAGTTAAGTACTCATAATGGTAAAAAACATATCGTATTTACACTTAACACACGCATATATAAGTTTTATTTCTTATCAGGTATGCATCAGAAAGTGGTGAGCAAACGGTACTGGAGTCGATGCGAGATTACCTGATCAGTACCATCCAGAAAACCTTCGAAGTGGGCCTGCAGCAGGCTGAGTGCCTTTACTCTGAACTCTTGCAGTGCACTCGGAAGAAGAACTTGGTGAGTGTTATATTTTGACAATTTGAATAAACAACGTAATATGTTGCTGGCTACTTAAGGAATGGTTATTAAGGCTACTTCAGTAAATATTTTAAGGATAGGCAAGGCAGTTAAATTAATAATAAATTATAGATACCTTCTTCTTACTAAAGAATTAAATTAAATTCAAAACTTTCGTGAGTCTGAAAATAATTTCGTCATCATCATCATCATCATCAACAGCCTATAATAGTCCACTGCTGGACATAGGCCTCTCCTTAGAAAGGAGGTTTTGGCCTACTATACCACGCTGGCCAGACGGGTTGATATAGGGTTTTTTTTTTTTAAGTAAGACGGAGGCCCTCTTATTTCATGGGCCCCGTCGTGGTCCACCCCCTGGCGCCTCAATCGTGGTCAACTCGGTCCTCGTACCGGTTCGGGCCCAGATGAAATATCTGGGCCTGATCCTCGACGGGAGGTGGCTCTTCGACGAGCACTTCCGACAGCTTGCTCCAAAGCTGGTCGGCGCTGCGTCTGCCCTAGGGCGACTTTTGCCCAATTTGGGTGGACCCAGCATCGCGACAAGACGGCTGTACACGGGGGTTGTCCGGTCAATGGCACTATACGGTGCACCGGTGTGGGCGGCGGCTCTGACCGCCCAGAATAGGGCACGCCTCTGGCGCTCTCAGAGGGTATTGGCGGTCAGAGCCATACGCGGTTACCGCACCGTTTCGACGGATATGGCTTGCGCGTTGGCCGGAACTCCCCCGTGGGATTTGGAGGCGGAAGTGCTCGCCGAAGTTTATCGGCGAGTGGCTGACCCCGAAGACGTGCGCGAGTGGCACGAAGCCGCTCGCCGAGCCACGATGGCTCGTTGCTCGTTCCGGCTGGAGACTCCACGCGCTGGCTTCGCCGCCGTGGAGGCTCTCCAGCCGGTCATCGCCGAGTGGGCAGAGCGGCAGCACGGGACCCTTACCTTCCGGCTGACGCAGGTGCTTTCCGGGCACGGTTGCTTCGGAAAGTACCTGCACTCGGTCGCTAGGAGGGAACTGAGTCCCGCCTGCCACCACTGCGACTGCAGTGAGGACTCGGCCCAGCACACGCTGGCGGTCTGCCCCGCATGGGCGACGCAGCGCCGGGCCCTCACTGCAGTCATCGGAGTGGATCTCTCGCTACCGGCCGTAGTACGCTCCATGGCCGGTAGCGACAGTTGTTATACCGCGGTCGCAACCTTCTGCGAGGAAGTAATCTCGCGGAAGGAGGCGGCGGAGAAGGCCCGGGAGGACGACCTCCACTCGGACCCGATCCGCCGCCAGCGAACCGGGCGGCGGAGGCGCGCTTATCACCGCCTCATGCCGCCCTGAGTGTGGCCGCGGGTGGACGGGGTGGGTTTCCCCTCCACCCGCATTAGTTTGGCCAGCCACGAGGGGGCGGCGTCCGCGTGTGCCGGACGTCGCCTAAAGAGAGGTTAAAATTTTGAGACGGAGCCCGCACCAGGAGCGGACAGGCGATAGGAGGGGTCCGGATGTCTTAACAACAGCTGTTCCCGGATCCCTCCTATTACAGGCGCAGAGTGGCACACCGTGTGGTTTTAGTCGGTCCGAGTCCGACACACCACTCCGCCGCAAACCTCGGTGGGGTGACGGTCCGAGGGGATTTCCACACGTTAAAAAAAAAAAAAAGGGTTGTTTTAAGTTTTCCGTCTCTTTGCAGTGTTGTTGTCCAGCGTAGTTTGGTCCCTTAGTCGGCTCTTACGACACCCACGGGATGAATAGGGGTGGTGATTTTCCGTATTCATAAACCGTCACCTGTCAGAATTTCGTGAAAAGAGATAAATAAACTACACTTACTTTAACTGAGTGAAGTTATGATAAGAACTGGTAATTTTAGCTTTATATTTTTTTGCACTCAAAATCTCTTTTGTACCAAATCTTTTCGTATTACAGATAAAATTTCAATAGTTATATATTTTGCAATCACAAATGCACTCTTCGAATTCGAGCCATATAATTTTACAAACACTTTACGTATCTTTTTTCTTCACCTTTAACGTATTTTCTCTTTTTTTTATCTTTACCTTTTACAGCAGCACAGAAGAGCAAAGTTCTAATTGAATTTCATTTATATTTGAAGATAAACTACAATTCCTTAAGTTGACAAATTAAACAATAAAGAATACAAAATTCATTACTATTTATATCAAGATAAATAGCCGCATTGAAGACGGTAATCCTTGTTTTAAAGTTAATTATGTTGAGTAATTTTTAATGAACATCAAGAAACATGAGTTTTGGTACTAAATATTTATTTTAATTATTAATAATTATTCGCCCAACAAACAAACATTACCTTCTGACCCTTATTATCAGAAAATGGGATTACTTACGAAAATCCTAAAGTCGTAAATTCCGACCGGTGCGCGGCGGACCGTGAAGCGGGGTGATGTGCGTGAACTTGATATTCCCCAACGCCTGATTACCGTCTCAAGTTTTCTTGACACATGGTTTACCTCAATTTACTTACTGTCCGCCTTATAAAGTTTACCTAAGATAAGGGTTTTATATATTAATAATAATAATATGTTGACATACCCACATACGGCCGTTTGTTTGCAAATTAGGGGGTGCCTATCATAACACAGATTTGGCATCAGGCAGGTCGCTGACCATAAAAGTAACAAGCCATAACTATTTCCCATGTATTGCGACGACCATAAATATAAGTAGGAGATAAGTCATGTTTTATTCCTCATTTTAGCAGCTCGCAGGTCTTTACATAGTTAACCAGAAATATAATTTTTACTGTTTTCTATATTACATTAATAATAATAATAATATTCTACCACATTCACACAACGCCATCAAGTCCCAAACTAAGCAAAGCTTGTACTATGGCTACTAGACAACTGATATAAATACATATATACTGTTTTTTTTTGTAAATACATGCATATTATACATAGAAACACCCAGACCAAATCATACATTAAATGTTCATGCTCACAAATGTTTGACTTGAGCGGGTATCGAACCCTTTGGAATAGCAGTCCGTTACACAAACCACTACGCCATCCGGTCATGCATGATCTTTGCATTAAACATGAACTATAAGTATTCACTGTCCGATTCAATTCGGTTACATCGTTTAAAAACGATATTCAACGATGCCATAATAAGATTAACTGAATTGTAAAGCTTAATCCTCGTATGTTTGCTTCGACTATCTTAAATCCTCAACTATGCATATGCGAGATATTCATTTTAAACGAATCGAGGGTAAAATTCAATTTCACGGCTCACCGTTACCATACCGTTGAAATAACAATTCTGACATACTAATGAGAATATACATCTTGATCCACTTATATACATGGCAGTGGGATCTACATACGACAAAATCCACTTAATAAAAGCGCTCTGGTCGCTTTATTTAAATTTATGTATGCAGAAATTTTGCCCTGGCGTTATGTTAAATAAGGACTATTTAAAATAGTAGTTTATTTTTATGTGATATATTCGGTGTATATTTATACACAGTGCTAAGGTGAAAGGCCTATGTTCAGAACTAGACTGCAATAAGTAGATTGATTAGATCAAGTTATTTTTTTATGATGTAGTGGCAAACCTTCCAGTGCCCTTACCTTCCCAGGTTGAGGGAGAAGTTTGGCCTCCTATAACTTCACTCTCTTGGTGAAATACAACGGAAAGCGCTAAAGAGATCCCTTTTTTTGTATTGAAAGCTCTATGAATTTGCCGCCTTAGTTTTATCCAGACAGAGCAAAAAATAGGTATTTTATTTTTGCATATCTGTGCGCGCCAAGCTGATATTATATTTTTTTAAATAAAGGATTCCTGAGACTTTCATTATGATGCTTGATAATTTTCACTCGTATTATATCTCTAATATTAAACCTCTAAAGCCAAATTTGAATTATATTATTTAAATGTACAAAATTACTTAATGGTTGTGTCTAAACATCATAGTGTCTAAACATCATATTTTATTCGCTCTTTCTTCTATCCTTAGCCTGCACACAATCCAGTATGCATATGTCAGTTCTGTGTTACGGTTTCCCTGGAGGAATATTATCGAAACCGTGTTTAAGATTGATTGACGATTGAATTTCAGTATGTAGAAACTAATCACATATTATGTATCATCATGTCCCATAGATATGGAGGTAAAAAAACTTACTTTCGTTGAACGAGTTGGTTTTACTAGTAAAACAAACGTCAGATGTCAATTTGAACTAACGTCTAATAATAATAATGGAATCGCAATGACACTATATCTATGTATAGGTATGTAATTCGACTGCACGGATGGCGTAGTGGTTTAAGCAGTCGCCACGCCGCTTCCTACTACGCCGAGTGTTGTGGGTTCAAACCCCACATGGGACAACACTTTGTGTGATCCACAAATTGTTGTTCTGAGTCTGGGTGTTCTTTGTGTCCGTTTCATGTATGTTTGTAAAGTCCCCCGCGACACAGGATATTTTCCTAATGCGGGAGTTGTCTTTTTTAAAAAGAAAGAAAAGAAAGAAATTTGGATGATAGTGATTTTTTTTACTGCTGGTAAACCCTCTACTATGGGCTTAAGGATTGGGTTTGACGAGCCCAACAAAATGGGCTTCTTAACGATATTCTAAAAATGAAGCCAGGAAGTGCGTAGTAGAAATCTATATTTTTTTATTCCACTTTTTTATGGGCTAAAAGACTTGATGGTAAGTGCCTATCGCCTCAAGAGTTAGAAATGCGTTGCTACACTTTTAGTCCCCTCCCATAATCAAAGGGAGGGTTTGGGCAAAGGTAACCACTCACGCGGTGAAAAGAATGAAATTTATTTATTTAATTCACCACCAGTCAAATACATTAACTCATTACAAGAGACACAAATTATTCGCGAACTAATTGCAAAACTAATAACAGGTGAATACAACATGCACAACAATATCGTATCTAATGCAAAAAACATGGCTGTAGCAGCTACATTTTTATAACATCATCATTAACAACAGCCTT